TTCATATAGCAAAAAATCCTGTCTTTCACGAACGAACTAAGCATATCGAGCTTGACTGCCATTTCATTTGTGAAAAATTGCTGGATGGGTTGATTTCTCTATCTTTTGTTCCATCTTCATCTGAGATCGCTAATATCTTCACAAAAGCCCTCTCTGGGCCTCTTCACCGTTCTTTTATGGGCAAGTTGGGAGTCCGATCTGGGGTCTTCAACTTGAGGGGGGTGTTGCCGGAAAAATTACTTCGGCCTCGATAAGTCGTAGTGTTCAGACAGAGGCTCAAAGTGGAGGAGACAGTGGGACATAGGATATGTCTGAATATATTCAACTTTAGAATATCAAACTCCTTTTATTACTCTTAAAGTGAAGGCCACTGATGAGGACATATGCACATATAATAATACACACAAATTGTAGCCAACGGTCATGGTTCTTTCTTTGTATAAATATAGGAATAGCATTGTACATATGACATCACGAGAAATAGAAAAATATTTTCCATACCATCTTTCTTGAATTTCTTCAGAGTTGAACCTTAATTAATCCGTTATTAGATCAACCCAATATTTAACAGCTCACGTTGCTTTAATCTGAAACATCTAAAGTTCACCTTGTGTGGCAAGGGGTTATCATTTATTGGATTTTGCAGATGTTATGAATTATCACCATGTGTGGTAAGGAATTACCATTTGTTGCATTTTGCAGATGTTATGAAGAAGATAACACATCCATTAACTAAGCTGTTAGCAGTTAGCTTTACCCTCGACCAACAAATTCTTGCTCTACTTAAATACACCTTATGACAAATACTTGTTCAACAAGCCTTTCATACCTTAGTTACTTATATGAGAAAGCACAACCCCTTAATTGTGAACTCCACCAGTTGGCAATAGTCATTATTAACATTATATTACATAAAAAAAAAAAGTTTACTACGACGATTTGTGGCAGTCTATAGAAAAGAAAATTCCACCATACATTGCTCAGGATAGATATCATAACTTAGTAACTAGATGATGCTAAATTGTGAGCTTAATATATAAATTCTTGGATCAATCAGCTTCCTCTCGTGCCATTTCATTTGTTCCCATGGGCCTTCATCCCTTCTACAAAAAGAATAAAGAACAGAAGATCAAATCGTAAGGGAAAGCACTTTCTTAACCATATTTATAAAGAAGACAAAGAGCCTGCTTTACCATTTGTGCGTATGACTTAGGTACTGCAATATCAAAATCAGTTTCAACATGCATGACAAAGATGGCATATTGCTATGGTAGCTAAAAAAGTATCTGGACTCGAACACTTCGTTTCTTCTTTTACCTAAATGAATCTGGTTACTCCAGCTCTTCAGTTTTACTTTCTTAAGCTTCAAATGGCCGGCCTGATGTTTTTGCTCTCCACCAGTTAATATTCAAATAATAAAGAGTTTAAGTTAATTATATACACCGCAGCGTATATAACTTTTACACCATCAAGTCAACTTTTTCTATTGTAGTCACCGGCGGATTCAAGATTTAAATTTTATGGGTTCAACCTTTAAGATTTTAAGTATTAAACCTATTATATCCTAAAGTTATGGGTTCATATCTATAATTTATTGCGATTTTAGTAGTTTATTGTACATAAATTTATGCTACGCGTCAAAAGTTATGGGTTTAATTGAACCCGACGTTATTGAGCTACATCCGCCCCTGATTGTAGTACATAGTAACTTGTCTTATTTTCAAAATTACAAATCTTACATTTTAATTAAGGAGTCTTACCTGTCGTCTGTCTGTCGATATCCCTTGGTTGACCTAGTGATGTAAAATATTCCACGCTTAAACTCGATAGTAAATGGATTAATGCATAACATTGTGTTAGTGTGTATCTTATACAAAATATTTCTGATGAATAAAGTGCTTTGTTAAAACTGGATTTAAATTTAATTTTTACCAAAAGATGCTGTTGGAGATAAAGTGGAAACAGAAGGAACTTCCATGAGGTCGCTAAGTTGAGAATACATATGGTTGATGAACTTTATGGACTCTAAGTGAGGTTCCTCCATTGCTTCTTTTAGCTTGCTTAGCGCCACACAATATGCTTCCTGTCCACCAAAAAACAATTTATTCTTAGCTTATTACCAAAAATTAAAGCTCTTACCCATAAACCTAGTGTGTACTTAAACGTAGGTAAATATACTACTAGTATAATATGTGCATTAAGTATGTGTGGGTTAGGATTAGAGTTGAATTCAGGATCTGAATTAGTTAATGATTTTAGAATATGCGTGATCTTATGATATCTATTAATTTTAAATCCATTTGTGCCTCTCTGTGTACATTATCTGAATTGAAAACATTGAATCCACAGCACCTGCTGCATCAAATATGCCTCTCATAATATAAAGTTTATGCACTAATATGTATAATTGTGATAGGGTAAACTATAATAGACTAAGAAGAGACAATATGGAATTAACTCAAAGAAAAAGAAAGAGATGGCGTCTGTTGCAGATTTATATGCTTCTATATACATACAATGATTATCAAACTTGGAAAAAATGCAGAAACTTGTTACCATAAAAGTGTCCAGTTCTGGTTGATCAATTGCGAGTGAGCTGAGCTTCTCATCAACAGCAAAGTTATTGTTCATTTTTGATTGATCCATTGTGTGTGAGCTACGCTTCTTATATTTTGCCTTTGCTTCAGCTCTTTCAATTTTGTCAATCTCACTGATACCCGAACAAACCTGCTAACGAAAAACAGTAAAAATATACTCTACTTGATTTTCTGTTAACCTTATGCGCTTCTTAGATTTACAAAAAAAAAAAGAAAAAAAAAAGGGAGTAACTAGGTTTTGAAGATGAAAGCAACACAAGCATCTTTTACTACCTCTTCGGAAAAATTAAGTAATAGGGTAGTAGAATAATTCAAGCAAATTCATATATATAGGATTATATAATAATATAAATACCTTCAAACAGTCCAAGTGAGTGTCAACCAAAAGATCATACAAAGAGTGGGAAGATATTTTCCTCTTGATGACTTCTGTTTCTTCTTCATTATTATCTTCTTCTACGGCATCTCCTGATCTAGAACTAAAATATTCCTTTGCTTCCAGCTGCTCTCCATCTCCAAAGTTGTCACTTTTTGTCTCCATCCCCAATATGTATATCTATATGATACCAAAAATGCTATAGCTACACTCAATAGTCCACTTTATATAGATGGAGTATATAGAAAAAGTAGGGTTGCTTGAAATGACTAGTTATAGTAAATGGAAAGCAATAGCTCCAAATATTTGGAAGATACTGATTGACCCATGCATGCACGACCTATTCTATCAGTCAGACAGGCAACACTCCTATCATAAAAAGAGAGAGAGAATATGACTATTTCTGCATTCATATTTTTATCTCTTTTTGCATAGTCGAAAGGAACATTTCATGGGCTTCTTGGATTCTGGGGACCTTTCGTAGTGTACTTAGTACAACTACGCTATGATGAGTCAGTTCTTACTTTGTTTTCCATGTTACAGTGCCCCCCTCTCTTTATTACTGTACTAGTAGCCTTTCGTTCCTTGTTTCTTTCTTGAATTTAACCTATACTCACCGGTGTCGAGAGCCAAAATTTCAGCTCAAGATAGCATGTAAAAATATAAAAAAATTCAACATCTATAGTACATATACATAAATTTATTTTTAACCTATTTACACATCGTAACTTTTTTTTACAAGATGTCAATTGTCTTCTCTTGGAAAAGAGTGGTGGAGTGTCTTGCCAGCTTATACTATTAGTATAATTTTATATTGTAGTATGTTAACTATTTTATTTTTTATGTTACTAATTTCACAAATCTCAAGTGATTACCTGTAATTGTTTTTAGGTGTGATCGAATAGTGTAAAAGTTTTTTACATTAGATTTTTTGTGTATAGGAATTAAAATCTTCTTTCTTTACTTTGAAGGCTGCAGATCATGAGAGAGAGCATTCAACTTCGTTACTGTGGAGAAACTGTATGCAATGTTCTTTTCCAAAACATGTCTTTGTCAAAGCGTCATCACTATTTAGGAGTATTGTGAGGAGAATGTTATTACCACTGTTCATTGGTTCACGGGATCTTGCAGGGTCACATTCTTGAATGGGGTCCCAAATGTACGGTTGCACATGATTTTTTCAGGTTGTACGGGAAAAATTAAAAATAAAAATCATTTCTCTGGAAACTGTATTCCTATCTATATATGTACTGCAAAATTTGTTCAATAATCACTATATGAAATGAATCCTTTGACCATGGCACCAAATATATACTATCAGGGTTCAATTGATTTACTGAAACAACGAGAACTTGAAAGCTACTTTTTCAAGTTTCAATAGCGGAACATTACGTAGCCTCCTATTATCTACTATTATACCTGGTGTCGATCAACTTTCGGATACGTACGGACAGGAAGAAGAAGGCAGATAACGGAAATGCAAAAGAGAAGAGCCTGTACATTCATAATGCAAAACATTTCATACTATAAGTATAATTGAACATGTTATCCTAGGTTAGTTATCATTTTTTACTAATTTATTTATCCTCTAACTAATTACCTGTGGTTAACTTGCAAGGACCTGATATGCATAGAACTTAAATTAGACGGTTTAAAAGATACTTGCATAATGAGGTCATGACTTGTAAGGTTGTCTAGCTTAAAATCTGTCACTTGTAATTAATTTAACTATTCATGTAAAATCTATACAATAACCAGTAACTGATAACATGATGAAAAATGTAACTAGCTATCAGAATTCACATGTTGAACTACCATGGTCGAGAAAAAAATCTTTTTTTTTTTGGTGAAACAAAAAGCTTTATTTATCACCAGTACCCAATAAAAAGAATGTACTAGAATCCTAGTATGTACAAGAATCCTAGCCAGGCATGCGAGTGCCCCTAAATGTTTATCCTCTCTTTGCTCCTCTTTTCCCTACTCCGTCTTCCTATTCTATTGTTATCATTACTTCCTATACAATTGATCTATCCACTCCCTCTCATTCCTGCTACATTTCCTGTGTAAAAAATTACTACTCTAATCTTGCATTCTTGCTGGACTTGTGCACATATAACACCCGGTGAAGGGGCTCGCTGGTTCCATAGAGCTTCATTTCTTGCCCACCATATTATGTATATCAACACTGCTGTCATTGCTGTGATAAGCGCCCTGCACTTCTTCCCTTTGACCGCTCTTATTGATCTATGCCATACCCCCTTGACATCATTTTTTATTGTACCTTTCTGCACCAATTTTAATAGCATCTGTAGGCATGCCGCAGAGAATTTGCACTCAAAAAATAAATGTTCCACTGTCTCTGGTTGGCTTCCACAAATAATACACCAGTTGTCTTGGCTTATCTTCAGCCTTAGCAATCTATCCTTTGTAAGTAGCTTTCTGTGCATGGCAAGCCAGCTAGTGAAGCAACGCTTAGGCATGTTCATCCTACATCATACCCCTCGATACCATGATCTTTCTTCTGCATCTCCCTTGCTCCATTGGTATCCACTCCCTCACTAAGTATTTGCCATCTTATTTCAGCCATCCATTATTCATAAAACCTCTAGCAAACTTGTCTCTGGTGGAGCATATTTTCTTCCAGTACCAGCAACTATCTGTTGGGGGGGGG